CCTCGATCCCAAATCATTGAGGCCAATTTCTAGCCATAGAATAATGGCGCGCGTGTAGTTCGATTTTCATTTTAGGTCACGTGACTTTGGGCAAATCTCCGCCGTTTTCGCTGTTCATGTTGGAACAGCTAAAATGCGCAAAAAGTCGGCTTTGCCTCCAACCAAATACTATTATATCTATGGTTGAGGGTTGTCTCTGATCAGTCTGATCTGTAGTGACTAAAAAGGTCTACTAGGTTGGCCACCCTGCCTGCTGATAACCTATAATTTATAATTTGATATACTGGAAAATTAATATGATTGTGAATTCGTAATCGTAGATTAACAAAAAAAAAAATGAATTTCTCGACTGAAGAATTCATGACAATTTTTAATGAAGAAAATCATTCAGATTTAAAAAAGAAATGTTTCTTAATTGCACAAGGTTTTTAAAAAAATTGTTATAGTTTGGTAAAAATTTTGTGTACCTAATTGTTTTAGATATCAAAAATGAACATTTTACTATTCTTCAGTTACTAGAACAACTGAGAGAATTGCTTGTGAACCCTTTACCACTGAGAAGAAAACAAGGTGTACAAATTTTTATGGAGGTTTTACAAAATGTGCCATACGATTTTCTTAATATTCAACAATTAAAAATGATTTCTGGCTTTTACATAGAAAAATTAAATGACCATCATCAGGTAGGTAAAAAGTGAATATCAATTAAAGTTGTTATTAGGTGATCAGTCTTGTTGGCCATCTTCCACCTTCAGTGGATACAAAATTGTGGTTAAATTGTCAAACATGGGTGCTGTCTATATAGGGTGTCCCAGAATAACGTGTACAATGAAAGACCACAGATTCCAGGACTCAAAATAAGCAGATTTAGGCTAATTCACCTATATCAAAAATTGCTTCGTTTGGCCGCTAGATGGCCTCAAAGTTTGTGAAAATTTTTTTAATTTTGTAAATAAGTGGAATACGGATTATTCGATTCAATCTACAAATTTTGGTGTTATACAGAGTGTTTTTTAAAACTTACAACTCTTATAAAATTGATGTATGGTGATAATATCCATTCATAACTTTTTCCTCTTTCGAGCAATAATGATAACTATTTTTTATTTGATAGGTGATACAATTTGGAAGTTTTTGGGCCTCTTATAGAATTTTGATTAAATGGGCGGTTTGGGTACAAAAAAATATTTTTTAAATATCTACATTATCTTGCCACCCATATTACAATACTTAATGGTGCTAGTAGGCACTGATTTTGTAGGTTGACTGTAATTTCAGTTTGATCTTTAAGTCATTGTACCTGCCAATTCTTAATGAGTGTTTACTACGGTAAGATATACTACATGTTACTTTGATATGGATACACACACACACACATACGACGAGTTATGTAAAAACAATCAAATACAATAAAAAATGCTGGAGATAAAAGTAACAAAGTCGATATTATTAGATTTAATACAACTTATTATAAAAACTGTTCAAATTGACCACCGTTGTTTCTACAACAAAGGTTAATTCGGTTAATTTTCCGTTTAAATCCGAGGATTAAAGATGTTTACTCCTCGCATTGACTAGACAATTTGAAAATAAATAACAACATTTATTGTGTGTGTTAAACTGGAAAAAAAACCTGTTACATCGCCAGAAAATATTTTATTTCTGCATTAAATAAAAAATACATTTGCTACTAAATACAAGTATAGTACAACAAAACATTTCAAAAAGTTGATTAACAAACACTTGTTATTTAATTTTGCAGGGATTAGAAAAGTGACAACAACTATTGCACAACACTATTTTTAAAGCATTTGCACGATTTATTGCATCACTTTTTAGTACAGTTGCATTTCAGCATTCCCTGACCACCGGTGGTAGAACTAATAGATACGGCTGATCGAAGACTCGTTTCACATTCAAGAACTTCAGCTACCGTCATAAATCCTCCTAGTCAATGTGAGGAGTAAACACCTTTAATCCTCAGATTGACTATCGGATCAGGCATTTTGCAGATTGCCTAAAACAGCGTAATAGATTCGCAGGTTACCCAAAGTAGTATTGGTTTTGCATAATATCCGGTGAATTGGAGTACTTAAATCGATGTGTGCTATCTGCCCGGGTTTCGAATCCCGCGGCCGGCAGACCGTAGATTAGCTATGCTTGTACGGAGAATTGGCATCCTCTGTGCAGGTATGGTAGGGTGGAAGAATGTTGGCTTGGGTCAATGTGAGAGATTGACACCGGTTGGCATTTGATCACCAATCTAATTAATGAGGTTTTTCAGGTTTCCCTCATTCCTGCACTGAATGGTGGTTAGGGCCTACCAACATAAGTCGTTCCTGGGCGCAAACGCGGCCTGCTTAATAATAATATGCCGCCTCCTCTCCCGCACAAGTCTCCGACTTCTGGGCTAATTCTCGTAGTT